AGCATAAGGTGTTGTCTGATTTGTTTAAAATATCAAAGGTGAATGGGCTTTGGTTTCCCTGTGTGAATTCACTGATGCAAATGTGTTTTCTAGAACATATCTGGCACATTTGAAACTCTTAATGTTCACAAACGTAAAGCTTAAAGCATAAGAAACACCGTTTCCTCTTTTCCATTTCTTTGTCGAAAACAACCGAAAGCTAACAAACCAGTTGAAGGGAATACCAAGTACTTGAGTCATAGCAATAGCAACAGCTGTTTGGGATCACACGTTCACACACAAAACTCGGACGAGAGCTGACATTGAATTCATGCCTCTGTGTTTGATTCTACACTGTGGTTTTTTGTTGTTTGCATTTTGTTTTTCTTCTTAAGACAGGCTTCTTAAGACTATGTGGCCCTGCTTGGCTCAGAGTTGTTTCATAGACCAGCCTGGCACTGAACTGACAGAGACCTCACCTGCCTATGTCTCTCCAAATGCTGGGATTAAAAGCTTGTGCCACCACCAACTACATTTTGTGTTTTCTAAACTACAAAATCAAATTTTGACGGCCCTCCCCTTTTTTTCTCAGAACCCAGAAAAGGCACATGGGACCAAAAATACATTTTGTATTCCCTCTAGTCAGTAGATAGTTTGTTGCTCTAGATTCAGAAGAAGAGGCTTGGGATGTTGCAAACCAAAATAGATGCTTCAGGAGCTTGAGGTTGAAGATAGAATGTGGAAGCTTTGTATACATATTTTATTTAAACTCTGAACTTGTTAGAAAGTGCATGCCAAAATGCTAAGGAACATAAGGAATGTGATTGCCAATTTCAGGGTGTAGTGATATTTTATTTACATTTTAATAAATAAAGCTTACCTGACGACCAGAAAAGCAAGCAGCCAGTCACTGGCTCTTACTTCTTCCTCAGTCCGAAAAGGGTGATCCTGCTTCCAGGAATCCTCAGAATGAGACTGAGTCTGAGAGTTGTCTCCTCTTATCTTATAATCCTCCCTAGATCAGAGAGTAAAGCAGCCTCCCTGGTCAGCCTTACAGACCAGGCAAGAATGGCGTACACCTTTGATCCCAGTAGCCACACTAGTTTGCCATAGAAACCAGGCAGTAGTGTGCATACCTTTAATCCCACCACTAGAGAGGGAGATAAAATGGAAGGAGACAGCTCTCAGGTGCAGTCTCATTCCAAGGGTTCTTTGAGGCAAGATTGCCATTTTCAGATTGAGGTAGAGGTAAGAGCCTGTGGCTGGCTACTTTGCTTTTCTGGTCCTCAGGCAAGCTTTATTCATTAAAATACAAGTAAAAGATCACTACATTTGTGCAGCTTACTGTTTAGTGAGAGTCTAGTCATTCACCACACAATTCTATCATCTTCATTCACAACAGCCTAAATTGTTTGCTAAAGTTCTAAATTGGAGATTCCGTGCATCCCATCTCAATTTCCGTCTCTGTCACGTCTCCTTTGTTCCTCATGTATGGCTCATCCAGTCTTTGCTTGCAACCATTTCTAAGATCTCTAGTCCAGGCCTGCAGTGCTGCTGAATCTCATTAGCTTCAAAACTGCAATTCCCACTGTCTGCTGGCCCCTCGCTTAGATAGACAAGAATGTTTCCATATTAACAGTCAGACTTCAATCCCCAACTCTCTCAATTATTCCTTGCTTGCTCCATATCTCCCACACATATCTATTTCTCAGGGAATGGCCCTCCTGTCACTCAAATTTAAAATTCATCATTGAATGTTTCATAATATAAGACAAACTACATTATCTGTAACTTAAAATAAAGACTTGCAAATATTTACTATATAGTGTTCAAAACCTAACCAAGGTGTGGCAGTTAAGAGCCTATAGGTATGCAAGTTTATTTGCCTATTATGTCTGGAAGGTAAACGTTCCCTCCTTTACTAAGGGAAAGAAAGTTCTCCAGGGAAGGCCCTTTCCACTTCAGTCAGGAGTTGATCTCAGAGTTGATCTTCTGATCTCAATTCTGACCAACTGAACGAAATGAAAATGTCAACCTTCAGTTTTCAGTCCATGGCTGTGAAAAAAAAAGAATCTTTTAGGAAAGCAGAGCAGAGTCATGAGCAGGATAGATAGCTCTGAGGACAGGGTGGCATCTAGGAGCAGTTGTAGAAAACCTGTAGCTACACAGCTGCAGACTCAGCACCAAAGGCACTAATAGTATCCACCACGTAGACGACTGTTAACTTTTGCTTTATGGTTCAAGTGTTCCCGGTTAATACAAGGGGTCTTTTAGATAGATGCTCATCTACATTAGTTGATTCCCTAATCAACTATTCAGTAAACTGACCTCAGATCTTCACAGTAAATACATCGTGTGTGTGTGTGTGTGTGTGTGTGTGTGTGTGTGTGTGAGAGAGAGAGAGAGAGAGAGAGAGAGAGAGAGAGAGAGAGAGAGAGGAGAGAGACCTGTAGATTTTCAGGTTTTACCAGAATGTATGTCAATTTCTTTCTCCCATCCTGGAGAGCACCTAGAAATTACTATCTTGTCTATCAAAGCATCTAATTTTTCTTTCCAAAGTCAATGTCTCCCAGGAGAATTCACTTGTTTCTGTTTCACATCTTATTTTGTAAATCAACTGAACTAAGGGATCTGCAAATAATTGGTAAAGTGTTCCTTTAAACTGTGGAAGGGAATTTCTGCAAGGTGTGAATAGTTGAATCAGCAGAACATGAACCCCACCAATGTGAGTAAGCATAATGTCATCCAGTGAGGGTCTTAAAAGGAGAAGGACAGATCCCTTCTCCTTGAGCTTAAACTTACAACTTCTACCATGCTTGGACACTGGCACTGTGGTTTTTAATCCTCTCAACTCAGATGGTGTTATACCATTGACACCGTATTTGAACTGCATTGGGCCATGGGATTTCCTGGACCATCAGTTTGCAACATGCAGGTCTGGATCTTTAAAACATACATGATTATTTGAAGATATCTCTCATAATAAAACCCTTTCAGTACATGCCTATCTATTGATTTTTTCCCTTTTGACACTGTTGACTAAAATAAGCATTATAGCACAATGATATACGTGTCTATCAATAGACTATTAAGAACAGGTATAAAGATATTTGATTAATCATTATGATCTCTGGCCCTAGGATGTTGGCTGTTACATCACAGGCACTTAGATCACAATATTGTTTTTATTAAATGTATCTGTGTTCTAAATATAACATGTATGTACTTTAGATAGAAGTTGTACAGTTTTAGATGAGTCTATGAAAATAGTGATAATCTCTATAAATTAATTATCAGTCATAGCTGGTAAGCATTGTCTACTATGTTTATTTATATGTTTTGTTTTTGAAAGAATGTATAGTCTTAGCTGGTAAATTTTGTCTATTATCATTACTATTATTTGATTTTTTAAGTCAGGGTTTTTCTGTAGCTTTGGAACTTGCTCTGTAGACCAGTCTGGCTTCAAACTCATAGAAATCCACCTGTCTCTGCCTCCCAAGTGTTGGGATTAAAGTCATGTGCCACCAATGCCTGGATTATTCTTTTTTTGGTTTTGTTGCCTACTATTTTTATTTATATATTTTGCTTTTTACAGAATGCACAAATAGTTTTAATTTACTTATAGTTGTCATTATAAAATACCTTGACAAAAGTCACTTGAAGGGGAAGGAGTTTATATTAGCCCAGAACCCCTGGTCTGCAGGAACTTTAGGCAGTCAGTGACAACCAGTTAAGAGAATATTAATGCATGCATACTGACTACTCAGTTCACTTGATCTACCCAGAAATTGCTTGGGGCCCAAATCAAGGAAATGTTCTACCTGTAGTGGGTTGAATCTTCCCATATCATTGATGTAGTCAGGACAATCCCTGGAAGGCATGACCACAAACTAATCTGATCTAGACAATCTCTCAGTGATATCCTCTCTATGTGATTCTAGAATCTATCCAGTAGGTCTGTAAGACTAGTCAGCATGTATAAGTACCACCATTTTTACTTTAATATAGAAATCATTCAGAATTTTTGAAGATGCATAGAACTTTTCTTCTCTTGGTTTTAAACTTGTATTGTAGGATGAGTTCTTCATTCTGTACATGGGATGGCTCTACCATCTAGCTTTACATAGTGTGCTGAATCTAAGAAGCTCTGGTTGGGTCTTTTTCAAGAAACATCCCTCCCCAAGCCCAGAGATCAGTGGCCTCCTCTATTTCAGCTTACCCATGTCAGAGGGTACATAGGTTAACTTCATGTAAATTGCTTTCCTTGACAAATATCCAAGTTGAAAAGAACATGAAAGGATTGGTCTTTTCTTTAGAGACCCAGCGCTCTTTCGGAACAGAAACTGAAAGCTGCAGGAGGTTCCTTGATTATTCACTGTTTATTTTAATTGACAGCTCTCTGTGAGTCCAACATGTAGATGATTCAGATCAAAGCAAACATATGCTGCTTTACAAAATCGATGTTTAATAATACTTATCTGCTAACCATGCAAAATGGCATTGCCTATTTTAATCTCGAGACTTGAAATTGAAAGGTACATTAATGTTTTCTCTTTAAGTTTGGGTTTGAGAACTTCATGCCATGTCACGTGTCAAGTGACTGTGTGACTCAAAACAGCTTCTCCCTCTAGTGTCTTCAAGTAGTCATTGTTATATTTCTGTCCCGAGTTTTTCTTCTGATCAAATCTCACTAGTTGCTTCAAATAGTTTTTTAAGAAAAAGAGCCACAAACGCTAAATCCCTCAATTCCATAAACTGATGTGACTTTAGTTACGGCCTATAGGGTGCAGAGTTTTCTCGCAAAACACTACCGCATGGCTTACCTTCAAATAGAACTCTTTTCTTTGCCATCCCTGTGAGTAGCTGTCCTGTGGTATGCCGCATGGGTCAACCCCTTACTTGTTTGGGTTTGGAGTCTGAATGGAAGCAGACTGATGTGAGATGATGATTGCCTAAGTATACCTACTTATGAACAGCCTCTGGATTCACAGAGTCATCTGGAAGACCAGGGTTCTGCTTACCTGAACTGTGGCTTCCCGCCAACAAGGTAGGGCTCACAGAACATCGGCCCATTCTGCTGGTGACCACAGGTGGACCTGGGGTTCCATCCCATTCTTGAGCTTTCATTGGCTCTCTGGAGGAAGCTGTTCCATAATGGCCTCTCTCTTTGCTGTCCAACTTTGGTAATGGCTCGGTGCTGTGGCTTCGGACTTTGAGCTCTTCAGTGGATTCTGTGTATTAACAAAATCACTTGTTATTTGAGAATTAAATCCCTCCTGAAAGAATTTTTAGAGACTTGAATATCTTTTTAATGTGCTTGTAAGATACTATTGAAAACAGGGTTGTACTGTAGACCTCGGCTTCAAAATAAAACAGGGAAATGGGTTACTTGGGGGATTTTCTTCTTCTCCATGATGTGGGTGTGTTAATATCACCAGAATGAAAATCATTTTCTCTTTTGATATACCATACCTCAATGAATCTTGACTCTCGCTTTTGAATCCCCCTTGGTTTTATCTTTAAGGAACTCCCCTAAGGATTATATTATCTTTCTTCCTCCTTTCTATTCCCTTGCCTCTCCTTTACTATGCTGTGTCATGAATCCAAACCGTCTATTCTCTAAGCAAATACGGTGGATTTCATTAGCTGAAATATTTACCAAAATTCCTAGTGACTGGCCAGTCTTCTACCACTCATTTTTATGTTTTCAATTCTTTCCGTTTCACAGATCCCTCCTTTCTCTGCATCTTGCTCTGCATCAAACCCCTTTTCCACGCCGTCTGTGATTTTCTCTTTTGATACATCCTTTGCACACTGGTCATTTCCAAGGCACTAACTGAGACATTGTCCTCCCTCACCACAGATTCTTTGTGGTGCTTTTATCACAGATTCTTCTGGTTTCAATAAAATCTCATCGAATTCTTAATGATTTCCTGAACTTTTTATCAAAAGAAAAGACCTTTCTCCTTAGTTTTACATTCATTATGCAACGAATGTCTTATGGATAGCACAGATTTAACATTTCAGATACTATCTAGACGTTTCTCACTTAACTAATGACTCTTCCTGGCCATTCATTCATCCATGCAAAGAGACTGTCTGTTCTTCTCTCTAAACCCAACTGATAAATCCCAAATTCAAATCCATTAGGCATAAAAGTCTACTGACTTTCTGAGCCTTTTCTCCACCCTTCCTTCCTTGATATCATGTCTACCTCAACCACCCTAGTTCAGACTCTTGAATTGTGTCTCTTTAATGGTCACAGCTGGCTTCTTTGACTTTGTCTTTGATATCCAAGGTACGACTTTCAGCATCATTTAAAATGCACATGTGACTATAATGTACTCCTGAAAGGAATACTTTAAAGAGTGTCCAGTTCACATCACAATAGCTGAATTCCTTATTAGATCCTGCCTTATTAGTCTTCTCTTTCTCTCTATAATAGCTCTCTCTTAATCATTGTACCCAAGGAACAATGTCAAAATGGTCATAGCTTCTGTCACCCTCTTCCACTCCTGAGCAAAACAATGCTGGCTTCTACAACTTCAAGCTCTCTGCTCTGACCTTTAAATCTTGTCTTTGCTCTAGTTGGGCAAATCAACTGATGTTCAGCTACTTCAGTGTCTTCTGAAGCATCACCACAGCCAGGGTCATGCCTCCTGGTCAGCTGTACAAGAACATAGCATATTGGCTTTCCACATACTTACTTTCCTGCCAAACTCCAAATTCTTGAAAGTCGTATGCTTTGGTTTCTCTTTTCTTAGGACTCGTTCCCTGATAAGCAGGCATCTTGTTAAATTAGTATTGTTCCTAATCTACTTAGCCTGTTTCTCCACCCTTCAATTATCTTTCTGCTATGTATAGGCAATAGAAAATTTCTAATGGAACTAGAAAACCAATTGATGATGAATGTACTAATGTGGCATGAGTTTGGTAATTTTTTTCAAAAAAAATCTTATCGTTTGATAACAATAATATAAAAAATTCATCAAATTAGAAGTCTAATCCACATCAAGATTTTTTGATAAATAAATAGTAATAATTTAAAAGACTATATTTTTGTTTTCTTATCTTTTAATTTAGCTTCAATTGTTTCTCAGTTTTCAACAGAGTTAAACACAAATGTCATGTTTTGTCTCTCATTATCTTGCTGTATGTGAAAAAGAACAGGCTTCTGTGTATTGAGCAGCAATGGTCAGGGTTCTGAGGGCCTCACAGGGCTCCACTTGGCAGTGTTAGCAAGCAGTAATTATAGACAGAAAAGGGAAGTGGTAGACAGAAATAGCCCAGTTGGTTATTGGGCCTGTGATTGGCAGAAATGATTGGTCAACACTCTGCTATTTGTTACACGGGGCTGCTTTTAAGTAAGGGCACAGTTTGTTTATGCAGTTAGATTATAGCGAAGCACCTGTGGGCCAGATTTAATTTCGCATTTTTGCTGTTTTGCTCGCCGATTCCTCTGCCTGCTGTGAAACTTTGCCAAATGAAAGCCCTGAATAAACAGCCTTTCTGTTCTAGTTGGTCTGGTCTTCTTTTATTTTCACACTGCTCTAGCCCCTTGCAGCTCCAAGAAGCCCTGCAGCTATACAAATACTAAAATTACACTTTATGCAGTGAATAAATCAGGAAGCTAGTCCAATCCAGCTGCAGGATCAGAAAGAGTGCAGGCCTCTAAAGACACCTGCTATAAAGTTAGTTACACTGAACTCAAACAGGACAAGTCAAAATATTTTAATGATAGCATACTTAATCATAATTATTAGGACAAGAATATTTAACCAACACTTGTTCTTCAGTGTCCTGAGACAATTAAATCAGGACCACACATGATCACCATAGGCCATTCCTAAGATGTTTACTCACAGTCTCAAAGAAAACACTACTTGGCTTCTGAACGTTACTGCGTCAAATCTAAGAACGCATATGTTTCTCCCGAATTTCTCTTCCACAATCTAACTCAACTGCTTGGGTGACTGTGCTGTTATCTCCTTATGAAGTAAGACTCCCCTCCTCCCCTCCATCTCTTTTTTCCTTCCTGTTTCCTTCTGCCACCTTCTCTTACAATTTGTCACACATACAAGAGCCTCGGGAGTTGGAACTTGCGCAAATATCAATAAATAGACAGAGTTCAAAAGCCAAGCTACATCCAGTCCTGCTCTCTCAGATATTTTAGATACAGAAGGAGAAGATTTGTGGGAAGGCATATCCACCAAAGTTGGTTTCTTCATTGTTTTTATTCACATCGCTCTCCCACAAATATGGGAGTAGGCACACTACTCAGGTCTCAAGTCTCAGCTATTTAAAAGCCCAATACAGCTTTGGGAACAAGAAGGAACAGTATTTTTCTTCTTTGTGTGTTTCCTGTAAGTTCTAAGGGTTAGTTTCAGTGAATTTTGGGAAGTTTATTTTGAGAAACTTGAACAACAACAACAACAACAAAGTGCAGAGTCTTCAATTAGAAAGCAGAGACTATATTAGTAAGAAAATTAGCAAGGTGGTGGTGGCGCACACTCGGGAGGCAGAGGCAGGAGGTGAGTTCAAGGCCAGCCTGATTTACAAGAGATAGTTCCAGGACGGGCTCCAAAGCTACAGAGAAACACTGTCTTGAAAATCCAAAAAAGAAGAAGGAGGAGGAGGAGGAGGAGGAGGAGGAGGAGGAGGAGGAGGAGGAAGAAGAAGAAGAAGAAGAAGAAGAAGAAGAAGAAGAAGAAGAAGAAGAAGAAGAAGAAGAAGAAGAAGAAGAAGAAGAAGAAGAAAAAAAAATTATAAGCATATTCTGGAACTTCTATTTTCTAAAAAAAAATCTTTTCCCCATGTACATATTTTAGAACTGCTTTCAGACAATTATTACATGTACTCACTCATAGGTGGTTTTTAAACATAGAGTAAAGAAAACCAGCCTACAAACCACAATTCCAGAGAACTTAGACAACAATGAGGACACTAAGAGAGACTTACATAGATCTAATCTACATGGGAAGTAGAAAAAGACAAGGTCTCCTGAGTAAATTGGGAGCAAAGGGACTTGGGAGAGGGTAGAAGCAGGGAGGGGAAAGGCAAGGAGGGGAGCAAAGAAAAATATAGAGCTCAATAAAAAAATCAATAAAAGAGTACGTAAAAGTAAAAAAAAATGCTTTCAAAACTAAGTAAGTTTTCTCATCAGAATAAAGACAGAGCTCTTCAAAATAACTGTCAAGAGACATGTGGTAAGTGGACAACTGAACTAAGAACTAACTGGACTTAGACAATTGAATTAAAAACTATGCAATTAAGAAATATTGTGGGTTCAAAGAAATCTATCCAGGAAGCAAATACAGTTACCCATATTCAAATATTTTGATGTTGTTTAAAATCAATTGAAACCAATTTTGGGTTTTCTTTTTGTTTTATTTGTTTTGTATGGTCTGTTTTGTTTTGTTTTTTTTTTCTCAAGTAAACGACTTTTATTTTTTTCCTCAGACAGTCAGTTTCTGCATAACTTCACATGATCTTAAAAGAATTCACATTTGGTAGTCTCTACCCCAAGGAAGTTGTAGCTGAAAAGCTACTTTAGTGTATGTGCAAGAGTAACTTGTGCGAAACAAATTTTGAATTTAATAACACAAAGTATCCACAAGACCTGGGTGGTGGTGGTGCACATCTAGCACTTGGGAGGCAGAAGCAGTAGGATTTCTGTGAGTTTTTGGCCAACCTGGTCTACAAAAGCTAGTTCCAGGACAGTTAGGGCTATTACACAAAGAAACCGTGTTTTGAAAAAGAAAAAGAAAAAAAATTCCGTGTGTGTGGGAGAGATTCTTTTTATACACTGTGTGGACCCCTTCTATAGAATCATGGTGTCTCAGCGCCCTGTGTAGCAGCTCCCATTTGTAGAAAAGCAATGTCTCCGTTCTGCACACCCTGCTCATCCAATGGATGACCGTGCTAATGGTGACTGCATGACTGATTAAGAACAGGAACTTATTTCTCATATTTCTACAGCCCGAAAATTCAAGTCCATGACAGGAAGGACACAGCTAACGACAGCCTTCAGTATGTCACCAGCCCTTCGCAGAAGGTCGAAGAAAAAGAGAGCAAGCCATGAAGAGGGAGGGGTGGGTGAAAAGAGGGAGGGAGAGGGCATGATGAGAGAAGAGGGAAGGACAAAGAGGAATCAAGTGATAAAGAGAAGCAAAACTTATCTTTTATAGAAAAACACACTCACAGGAAAGTTAATCCATTCCCGTGCCACAGC